AACACTTTCATTATATAAAGGATAACAGGTTAGATAAAAAACTGCTCACTAAAGATCACAAGGTTGGAGCATGGTGTTTCTTAGAATCAGTGTGCAATCATGTGTCTGTGGACACAGGTATTATTAAACTCAGCAATAAATGTTGAGAAGGAAGATTTTTCACAGACCAAGATTCTCAGTTTCAAGAATAAGGCGACTCTTGAGGGGCCTTACCTTCTGACTTTCTACCTAGACACCCCAGACCATGTTTGACTGAAGTGATACAAGCAGCTATTTGCAGTGTGACTTGACAAAATAATGGGATCACTATGCTACTTCAGAACCTTGTCCCAGCAGACCATTACAACCAGTGAAGTGGATCAAGTGGTTACATAAGACATTAGAACTAATGGAGTGATTTTATTCGTACTAGAACAAATCCACCCTTGCATGCCCTGTGACTGACACGAAATATCTGGGTAACCTTATAGGATAAGACATTTTCTAGCCCTAAAAAATCACATCTCTCTCCTTTTCTCATGTTCTAAAAGCCAGGTAGGTTCTTGTTTCTTATGATGAATTCTGTGCTGTAGAACAGAGAAAAAGATTGTTGTTGAAATTGATTGTTCCTGTGAGCAGGGAAGACTCTTATAAAGGCAGTTTGAAAGATTTTATTTTCATTTTCCATGAATAGGCATGGGCTGGCACTCAAGACAAAATTCGGTGCATTTTTAAAGCAAGTAACAAATTGGACCTCAGCTGAATGACAAGCAGGTGGCAGAAGGACACCCACTCTAAATCCAAAATGATATGGGAAGGATGACCAATGCTGTTCTTTTCGAATCTTGCAGTCACCCACAAACTTCAGGAATGAGTTTCCATGGTTCTTTTATAAAGATTGTGACGTATTAAATCTCTGAAATCCAAAAAGTTCTTGGTGAAAGCCTTCTCTGGATCATGATGTCTCTGATGATGGAAATATACAAGTATTTAATGGGAGGGTACACTGAAATTTGAGGAAGAGTCTTCTCAAAGGATTGACAGGGATAGCACAAGAGATAATAGACACGTTGGAGAATTACAAATTGCAAGCAGATGTAACATAAGACTTTTTTTTATCATAACAGTGGTACGATATTGGAACAGGACTGACAGAAGCTGTGAGATCTCCATCCTTGGATCTTCCAAAGCTAGTCTGGACATGGCCCTGAGAATGTGCCTCGGGCAGAAGATGGGACTAAGGATCCCCAGAATCCCTTAAAACCTAGGGGGTTCAGAACTGCTGTTTCAATTCAAGTAGACACTCTGGACCACATCCTGAAGTTAGTCTGAATATTTTATTGAGTTTAGGGGGTAATGAAGAAGGAAATAGTATTGACAATGACACAAAACTTAGAATTTCTCTTGGGCCTGAATTCCAGACATTGATGTAAAATATTTATGGGGATTTGGCATGTAATGAGACGGAGTCCAGTGATTAAACCCTAAATTCCCTGACATTTGAAATTACATGAGAAAGAAGATGTACCAATTTTCCTCAGTCACCAAGAAGAGAACAGGGATTTGTGTAATATATGTATCTCCTTTGAGTTTTTTCGTTTTCTACAAGGTCAGCCATGGGGTCTTCATTTCAGACTCTGTGACTGATGCAGGCTACCATGGGTAGCAGGCAAAGAAAACCTTAGTCCTATCATGCTCAACAGTTCTTCTGCTAAAATGTACAGGGAAAAAAATGTCAAATATCAATTTCAAAGAGTAATAATCAATTTATGTGAGCAGTGAAAAATGTTTTTGCCTTTCTGGAAATCCTGCCAGAATACCCTCCTGCAGTCAGAGCTCAGGATTACGAGGTCACCATCCCATATTTTCACTCTGGAGAGATGTTTGTCACTCTGCCTCACTGAGTCATCAAAAATCACCCGTACACCTTCCAAGTCTGAAATACTAATCACTTAAAAGAACTGTAGGTCTGTGAATATTTAGAGCCTGATACTCTTTCTATTGTAAATTATTAGAATTTTTTTGTCATTGGAACTGAAATGGTTTCCTAAGAGATCATGTTCAGGCTTATGAGAGCCAGATTTTACCCTTCAAAGGCCTATTTCTCAGTCCTAGCCCTGAATCTGTGGATGCTCAGGGCAGACTGCTCTTACTGGCTATTATTGTGTCTGACACTATTCTTCTTCAGAGTATTCCCCGGGTAACATCTCACTTCTCTCAGGGGATAGTAATGATAGTAATGTCAGTGACTTTTAAAAATAGATTTTCTTATGTGGAATGTCTCTGATGCATACAAGTATTCTCTAAAGGTTAATATGAGGCATTGTCAGAGTTAAGGAAATGTAAAGTTTCTTTTTTTTCTTTTTTTTTCCTTTTTTTTTTTTTTCTTTTTTTATTATCTAGAAACCAAGATAATAATTGAACCATATTTATTTCTGAGAAAAATAGTGGATAGTTGCCATGCTGGTTTTTATGTAGGTTAAAGTGTTTACGTATGTATTGTAGGTTAATGTGTTTATGTATCTGAAAAACTACATAAGTACTTTTTTTGTGTGTGTGTGTGTGTGTGTGTGTGTGGTATTGATAAGAATTGATACTGTATTCTGTAATATTATTCACTTTTGGAGACAAACCCTCGTTTTTTATCAGGGACTTTATTGGCCTAACTCCATTACAAATGCATTGCAGAATAGGTTTCCCTTCAAGAAGAGCATGTAGATATCTGTGCAGGTAACAAATACATTACAAAAGGACATTAATCAGGTGAAATTTAAAAAAAGCATCTGCTTCTGGCCTTATTCTGGAACAGGCTGCATTGGAAATCACTCAGGCTGAAGTCTTGAGTTTGTGTGAACTTAGTGCTCTGTACATGTCTCTTTCAACATCCATCATTTAAAATCTCAGCATAAATTTAATTTCTCTTAAGGGTTTGTTGTTTTTTTTTAAGTAATGACCAATTCTTAGAGTGATTTTACTAAGTAGGACTGCTGATGAATGCACATCTTTAAAGCAGTGTCAAACATTTGAAGAGCTGGAGCTAGTCCTTTTAATCACAAGGATAACTTCTAAGATTGATATTCCTTATTTGGCAGAGTGTAATCCACTCATACAGTCAGAAGAATATTTAATTCTTAAAATCAGTGTTTTCTGCTTTGCATTCAAGTCTGTTAGTGCTGTTGATTAGATGTCAAAGCTTAGACAATTTGATCTCTAATACTCTGAATATGGCAACATCTCTAGGACAGAGTGGCATTTCAGCTTATTTCGTTATTTAGATAGGGAAAGCAGAAGAGAAATTTTAAACTTTTAAAAATAAATTTTAGCAACATTCTGAAAGTTGCAAAAGACCATTGGACCCCACACCTGCTGTGTTGACTTCTGCTGACACCTTCTGACAGAGGAAAAAGCATTTATGTTACAACAAAGAACAGAGAGTATTAAAGAATTAAAGTCAGCAAAAGTATTATTCTGAAAAGAACCACCTTCCTCTTCTTCTTATATGAAATGAAAGCAGCAAATCAGCATAGCTGAAAGTAGTAGGAAAACAAAATTGAAATGATAATCTTCCTAGAAGGTAACAAGTCTTCTCCTTGCTGCTAGGCACTGGCAAGGTTTATCAACTCAGATAGCGCACTGCCAGTTTTTTCCAGCTGAGAAGCTGTTTTGGCAATGAAATAAATTATTGTTCCAGGCTCTCTTGCAATATAGGGAGATTTCCTTCAAATTCCCAGATACAGAGACATCTTTCATTATATACAACTAAGTAGTAGTTTGGGTGTGCATTCGTGTTCAGGACTCGATGCTTTTATTCCTTTCTCAGCCAACTGGATTATTTTTGTTACGGACTGTAATAGGCTTTGTCTCTGTGTCCATGAGGTACCCAGATGGACTGAGGAGAACTGCAAGATCAGATGTAGAAATTGCTAGTAGCATTTTTCACTTTTTTTACAAGGTATTTCCTTGGTATGTTGTTAAGCCATAACACTAAGAAGGCCTCAAAGCTTCTGTCTAGTGAAATTATTTTGATTTTTGTAGCGTAGTTATGCATTTGTCAGTAATTCCTCAATCTGGAACATCTTTTCTTTTCATTTTTGGATACTGTTTGCTTTTCATCCAAGTGAAATAAGGTATTAATGTGGAAAACAGTACTTCCCAGAGATAAGTAGTGGCCTTTAAACAGCAGAGAGCAGATTAAGCAGCAACTTCTTCAAATCATTTAATACATTTCATATATGAAGATTTTGTTCCTTTATTTTATTTTATTTTATTTTGTTTTATTTTTTATTTAATTAAATGTTATTTCATTTCATATGTAAAGAGTAGGAATGTAGATTTCAAACTTGTGAATGACTGAGCACACGGACACAGATGGTTTATAACTGATTTTAGGCTGCATTTTCCATTCAGATTAGCAGATCCTAATGTTAGAATTTTCATGATGCATGAAGAGTTGTCTTCAGAAGAAAAAGTTATTTATAAAGACATCGATCTCCTTCCAATGGAAAACTGCAAATGCATTATCTCTTTTCCTTACTGGTTCCAACATGCTATGAAAAAAGACTTTGTAATACTGATAACACCAATCTGCATGTCACTGAACACCTGTGTTTTACATGGTCTATTTGAAGATTAATTGCCTGCTTTGCAGCAAAATCTTCTTGTTGAGAAAGCCTGGTTATGAACAGTGCTTTTCTAGATCATTACCCTTAATATAACTACATATATGAGATAATGATTATTGACTAACTGCATTTAAAAACTTCTATTTCCAAATAAAAGAAGAGGGAAAAAAAAAAAAAGCAAGTATTTTACATCCACTTCATGGCTTTACAGTTGACTACTGAGGAAACATCAACTCTTTAATCCATACTGGCTAGAGGTAAGGTACAAATTTTAAGATACAGTGCAGTGTAAACACAGAGACCATTAATAACTGCTGAAGAATTTACCAGAAAAAAAAAAAAAAAAAGGGGAAAAGCAGGCAAATGAATTTTATTTGTTTATTTATTTATTTATTGCAGACGCAGCATATCTGTGGTTTTTCAGTACCAAAAGTGTAAGAAGATGATGGGACTGGGATAAGAACTGAAGATACATTTGATCAGAAAAAAATTACGAAGATTTCAGAGTTTACAAAGAAAATGCAGTGCTTTTCTTGGCCCTATCGACTAAACTGTTTCCAATAAGAAGACTTCTGCAGCCACAACCAACTCCACAGCAACTGTCTGTGCATGTTCAAAAATCTTAACATGTGAGCATCTTGGCAGAAAGGAGTCTACCCGAACTCAAGGATATGTAGAGCTTTGCAAAGTAGAGCAGAATCAAATGGGAGAAGAGCATGTTACGTATTTTTGTGTGCACCTAACTGAAACTTTGGATTATGATTGTATCTAGGGCAAGCACAAGAGAAACATGGTTATCTTACCTGCTGTGTGCTGTATTACTGTGATCACCGTACTGTAAATGACCAATTTTTCTTTTCAATATTATCCCTATAGTCAGTCACAAAAAAAAAAACCAAAAAAACGTTTTGCCTTATCTTCTACTGAAAGTCATGCAATATCTATATGATTCAGCTTAAGGTAATCAGAGTATATACATTAGTGTATGCATTGGTATGTATTGTGATATATAATAAACATCTGATATAAGTAGACTGTTGGCCTCTGTATTTAATAAAGGCATGAAAATACCAAAGTTTGCTTATCTTTTTCTCAGTGTTCTGATCTAGATAATTATATAACACTGCACGTCACCAGCAGAGCACTTTATAAATGGCCAGAAGTCAGCCAAACGGACCTAGCTGAAAAATGTATGTATTTTCCCTTCCTTGTCAAAGGACAAGTTCTGTATGGGCTGTGCTTTGACTGTGTGATGGGCTGAGTTCAACCCAGCTCAAGGGTGCCTGGCTAGCTAGGGTTCCAACCCCATGCTGGATGCCACACAGAGGGCTGTAGCAGCATGACCATGGCCAGGTGCAAGGAGCCCAGCCAGCCTCTTGCTCCCTCCTCATCTCCATTGGTCTGCGACTGATTAAAATAGAGTTTGGTGGTGAGAAACAAAGATGTTCTGAAATCCAGTGTATAGTTTCTATTAAGTTTCTTAGTGTAAAATCTAACACTACTTAAACCCTTTTTGTGAGCTCTGCGGAAGTCTTGTTATGTCTAAAGTATGAAGAAAAACCTTCACCAGTTTCAGATGAAAGATTTAATTCAAGTTGGATACTTTTTAAAATGACTTTCCCTGTTTGTCTCCCTGACCCTAAGATATTTAGTCATTTATATTAAATGAACTTTTCTGTTAACTTCTGTTTCAAACCAGCACTACACTGTCAGACTGTGAATATGAAGTATTATCATCTTGGCCACTACATGATATTGCAATTAAAGTCCTCTTCAGCCGTTAGTTGCTTTTTCTGATCAAATGGGAACATGGCATTTCAGAGGCTGTTCACTCCCCAGATCACTTCCGCCATGTGCTTTCTCTAATGCTACATTAAATCAGAAGCAGAGCAGGAAAAGTTTTCCCTCTGGCCTAATTTGAAGGTTGGTCTCAGCTTCAGTGAACTTCCAGAGGCTTGGAAGAAGTTTTGGCTGAATTTGGGCCTGTCACAGAGTTATCTCTAGATCAGTCTGTGTCTGTGACGGGGACAGCAGACCCAACAGCTGGAGGAACAAAAAAAAGGTAGAAAAAAGGGAGGACCAGGGGGCTGTCAATGGTTTACAGGCTTGTTTGGCCTAGTTCTGACTAATGGGGCAGGTTCTAACAGACCCACACCCTGAGAAAGGGGAAGGAGGAAAAGGAAAATGGTAAGCAGATGAGAGATGGGCCTAAAAACAGAAGAGCGTGTTCTGTCTACTTAGGGTTTTATTAGATAAAAATTCTCTCAGTGCACATTTTGCAACAGATCTTAAATGCCTGAGAGGGATACAGAAGAGAATAAAAGCTTGAAAATGTGGAAAGGTGAGCATGCAAATCAAAAGAACTTGGGAAATAGATGCTCATAAATTCACGTCCTATACTTCACACCAGTGCTTCAGCTGTTCAGCTGTTTGTGTGTATGCACATTAGACATCTAGAATGGCACTCTCAGAAAACTAATAGAAAACTTGCCTAAAAATTTGATAGGCACACAAAGAGGAATGACTGTGAAGTCCTTAATACCTAGATAATTATCTGATTTCTCACTGAAGTATTACAAAGTGTTATTCCACACTGAACACCTAGATGGCAGCTCTTAACTTAAATACGTTGCTCAATCAAGCCTTTAGTCTACAGGTTCTTGGTGGCTCCTCTGCTTCTGTTGAGGTTCATTTGTACAAAAGAGAACATAAGATTTACAGAGTCACAAGAGGAATAAAAATTATATAGTTAGGACATTAGTTAAGGCTGCCTAAACAGAAGATGTTGTTTCCTACACTACTTTTATATAATATTTAAAATTCAATGGACAGTGTATAAAAATAGACACTTTCTTGGGGAGGAGAACTGGAAGACTCCAAAATACTCATTTTTCAAAGAAATGCCTTAAATATTTGAGCTACAGTCATGTTCCTTTGTGTGGTCAAACTCATTCAGCTTTGAATTATTTTAAAATACTTCAGTATTAATATTTCTTCTTTCACCATCATCTTCTGAATAACAGGCTATGACATTCAGATTAGAACAGTCTGTTGAATGCAACTCCAAGCACCTGAGAGAGAGGAGATATACCAAAACTGGGACTCTCCTTTTCTGTTTAAGTCTCTTGTACATGAGCTAGATATCAAACAATAAGCAGTAAGGTGTTGGAACTAGGTTATCTTTAAAGTCTCTTCCAATCCAAGCCATTCTATGACAGCACCCTGCTCAAGGCACGATGACAGGCTCATAAGAAGCATTATTGTCATAAAGGGAAGTTGAATGGTCCTACTGTGGAAAAAATGGTTTGTAGTCTCTTGTCTCATTACACTGCGGTCAGAAAAGCCATGCTTTTCTCAAGTCATTTCTCAACTTTTATTTCTAGGATACAGGCTGTTTCTTCTCTCTGAAAGAGACAGTACCAGTGAGAATGTAGCAATTTACTTAAGTGGCAAATAGTGGGTTTGATGGAGGACACAGCTGAAAGTAATGTTAATTAAGCTCAATCTCCTATTGGAGGGGGCTTTGACCAACATGGTTTAGTGCAGATGTCCTGACCTGTAGCTGGAGTGTTGGAACTAGATGATTATGAGAGCCTCTTCCAACCCATACCATTTTGTGATCATTTTATTGTATGTAAATAAATTGTCTGGGTAAGCATATCTTTTGAGGAAGAAGTTTTCTTGAAAATAAGAATAAAAGCTATTTTGATGAAGACTAGAGATTTAGCATAAGTATTTTCTTTATTAGTGAGGAAGAAAATGAAGAGTACGTGGTGAATTATTGTTATTTTGTGATTTCTTTTTGTCTGTTTTGTATGTTTTCGAAGGTATTTTTTTATTTACTTGAAAACTCACCTTGCTGGGGAGGGAGTAAGAAACTCTTCAGGAAAGTGGAGTATACAGAACCACTATAAGGAATGTGTGTAGAAAAATATGTTGCTTTTATTATCAGAGTTCTGCTATTTAGAAAAGTAAAATGTAATATATTTCTTGCTTTTGCATATAAAACATCTAGTGTGCCTTAAAATAGCTAAGGGTATACACGAGGAAAATACTCTTTCCTTATTTTACTGGAAGTCATGCTGTTTCATGTGGGACAATTGAAGAGAACTGTTGTTATTTCTATTGTCAAGATTGTAAATGTTTTTGGAATAGCAATCATAGAATCAACAGATGTGATCAGTGTTTTTCTTCTGAGTTAAATACTTCTGAACTCAACTGTGTGGAGTCTGTTTGTTTGTGTTGTGTTGGTGGTTTGGTTTTTTTTTTTTTTTTTTTTTTTTTTTTTTTTTTTTTTTTTCCCCAGTAGGGCATATATATGATTAGGTCTGATAAATTAATTTCAAATATGGTCATTCTAATTATTTTTTTCTTTTTTTTTTTTATGTGTCGTATAGCCAGATACAGCTTTTAGCCCCTCTTGGCAACCACGTTGTCTACAGCTTATGGCAGTTTTTAAGGTATGACCCAGTACAAATGTTTTACAAGTAAAAAAAAATTAAGGGTTTTTAAGGCCAGGACGGAAATAACTTGGGCAAAAGCACTTCTATCTCTTGTATGTTTCAAAACATAAAAAAGTACATCTGGCTTTGAGCTGGTCTAGTTCTTCATGGTCTATTCCATAGGGATGAGTATCAGCTTGATTATCTGAGGTATTTATGCACATCTTATGTGAAGGTTTATAAGAATATTGATAAAGCAAATATGGATTTATGTATGTTAAGGTTTATGCTGGTTATTAAAAACCACGTATATCACAAATATACTACAGTGTGCCCTATGATGTCCAAACATTAGGTTTTTAAAGGTAATCAGTAATTAGCAGGTTTGCTTCACAGGATAGATAGTAATGACCTTGTGCTTCTGGAAAACGAAACGGAAATGGGTGAGGAACATGCACAGTACAGGTGAACAACTCTGCGAACTGTTCCCTCTGTCTTCATTGTTGGGGCAGAAGGAATGTAAGGATTTTACACAATTGATCCATCTTCTCAAATTCCCTTGTTACCTTATTTTTATTTTGGATTTTGTTGCCTGGTACTGTGCGATGTTCTAGAAAATACTCTTGTTATTAATATGTTGTGCAATTAGCAAGCAACTCAGATGGTGCCACTATAAGGAAGAAAAAGTGAGAATATCTGATGCTCTCTTTCAGTAGTTCATGACCGTTTTTTTGTTTTTTTTTTGAGTACTGGTCTCAAAAATAACTGTTCTGTATTGGATTGTAGTGATGCCTAAATATAAATAAACTGGATCTTACGTAACAGTTGGTCTTGAGAAACACTGATGATAACTGTCTCAGAGTATTCATTATTGCCTCTTTGAAGTCCAAACATTGATTTCTGGCATCTTGTATTTACTTTATTTCCTTAAGCATTTTGCAAAATCTCTTAACTAATTGAAATTTCTCATGATCTTCTAGAAGGAGAAACCCAGTAGAAATACTTTTAATACAATTAAATTAACTTTACGTGTCTGGGTGACCTGGCACTTTGGAGATCATAGCCTTAAGAATCAATACCTCATTTGCTGAAACAGTTACAAAATGGGCTGTGCTATTGTGTCGATCTGCAATTAATTCTGTGGAAATGAGTAGTTCTCATCTGACATTGATGTTTAAGTGAAAATGTGTTCCTCAGTATCTATAAAAGGGTCTTGAAATGGAAGGCCATGCTTTCACTTCTGTGAAGGCCCTTACTTGGCAGTATATCAAAAACAGCACGAATGTTATATGCAAGGGGACAGAAAAATGCTAATGAGATTAAAATTAGTTCCTTGGGTAGGAATTTTTTTCTCCTTTGTTACCTTTCACCCACCCTTCTCCAATGGCCCCTCCTTTGCCAAAGTGCTAAGTGATTTGTGACTTTCTATTTGTTAAATTTGATCCATTGCAGTGTGAATTCCAAATCATTCTTAAAACAAAACCAAAACTGTTCAGCAGTTGCTAAAAGTTTCTTGCTTTGTACGCAAGCCAAATGTCACTAACTTTTTCAGAGGAGACAGACTCCTTAATATAACAAGACACTTGCTGCATGCTTCTGCATTAAGTGACATTGAATTGCTGAGATATTGGCAAACCTGTCCAGTAGACACTCAGCTTGTCTTCCTCTGCTGGTTCTAGTTCACTTAACTTATGCTGACTCTCCTCTTTTGTTTTGTCATCTGAGAATTTCCTATTCAATGAAAACCTCCTTTTGAGACTAATTAAAATCAAGCTAGAGAGATTCTTTGAAGCAAAAGCACTATAAAGAATTAAACTCTCATTAGGAATATGAGAATATTATAAATATTAAATTCCTACCTTCCTCATTTTTTTGCAATTGATCTTATAGTTGTATACTTGTGATATTTAAGAACTGATAATAGAGGTTGCTTTCTTATTCTCCATACTGCTTTTATTTGCATGTGTTATTTCATACATGTGGTGTCTGCTGTTTTTGGGAAGTTATGAGAAGTGTCTGCTGATTTTAAGTAAGAAATAAAATCTTTCTCATTTCTTGAATTAACTTATTATGCAGTAACATCTGAATTATTTTTGTGGTCAGGTTCTGGGTTCTTATTAATTTCTGTCTACTGAATGCTGCAGACTATTTGCAGGTAGGTTGAGAATAGACTGTCTAGATGTAGTAAGTAGTAGTGAGTATTTTTGTATTAAATGAGCATCTCCTAATCTTAGCCTGTTATGTACATCCTGGACATTATTTTAATATTGATTGTCATATAGGAATCTGTGACAAGAATTATCTGAAGTGACATAAGACCACGAAAGTAGACTATCTTCAGCTTTCTTGTACTGCAAAGTGCTTTAACTCCATTGTCTCAGTTCCCTGTAAGACTGAGCTAAGAAAGACATAGTTCTTGTGTAGTGTTTTCTTCAGCAAGTTGTAATCGATCAATTCAAATCTGAATTTGAATGAACAAACTCCAGAGGATTTTGTATCAGTTCTTAGTTCAACTGTTGAGCAGTTAATGTAACTTGTAGAATAAAATCGTGGTCTTCAACATTCTTAGATCCTATGGAAATTTTTGTTGTTTTCAGCTATCATTCTTTCTTGGTGCTAGTGTTAAGTATTAAAGAAACTATTATTCAAGTCCAGTATGTTCCATGTGGCTTTGAGTACACTTGGATTATGTACATCAAATACTTGTAGAGAAGGCCACCGAACAGTTCATTTTGAGTGACAATTTAAGAGTGCTTCTTGCTGTGGAGTTCAAGCTGTTGCAGTTCAGGATGGATGTGTGGGGGTGGTCATCTGGTATACTTGTAAAGGGCTGAATTACCTTGATTTATTTATGAATAATAAAAAAAATTTTTTGTTTGTTTGTTTGTCCTCCCCTCCTTCAAAGTCTACTCTCCTTCCAGATTCCTCTTCATTTTCATCAGTAAATCTGAGTTTTTTCCAGTCAGGAATGAAACTCAGATCTGCATTATTAATTCAACATGAGACAATACATCATACTCACGGCTAAAGAAAAGACATTGGAGCCTAAACACCACGTAGTAGCTTTACCCAAATCAGTGCTAATCTATCCAACAGTTCAAAAATAATCATTATTAACCATCTGATCATACGCACGCATCAGCAACTTAAGAGATGCACTGAGTCAAGTGACTTGTAATGGGACTACCCAAAACTAGTGCCTGGCTCAGCTTCAGAGTTATTGAAGAATTAAGAAACCAGATACAGGATGCACCATAGCCTACAATTCCCTTTTGCCTTTCAGAGTGGAACCTTATGGTGTTATTAGCAAAAAATTATACAGCTGATAGACAGATCGTGAGGGGCAGAGAAACATGAAATTCTTAAACACAAATAGCCTTAAAAGATGAAGCAATAGGAATAAGATGATAATTATTTATTATGATTTATTACTACCTTGGTTAATTTATTATCATTGACTTGTACAGGTAAATTTGTTTGGTGGAGGGGAAGGATGCTTATGTACATGTGGTAAGTGAAAGCTTGCACTGCTTCATGTTCCTGGTGACACTATTATTCTGCAATGCCATTGCAGGAAAACTGCACACGTGCTTCCTAGCTAGCGTGTTCTTTTCAAGGTTATGTGTGGGTGCATTTATCATTCACTGAAAGATTCATAATGGTTACATAGTTTTATTGTCAAAGTGCTGTGACTAACAATTTACTATAGAGGTGCTAGTGTTAGGATAGAAGTGGGAGGTGGGATGGCAATTCAAAAAATGCGCTGACATTATTAACATTTCCTGCATTAAATGGAGTAGGCTTCTTTCTGTAGGCTTCCTTTCATTCCACTTGGCATCAAACACTAAATATTAACCTTATCTTTCTGGAGTTTAGGACTATTGACAAATACGGTACAAATTAAATTGCAGAATGAGGCATTTCTGGCAGCAGTGGCTGGCTATTAATGTTGTGAACCTGCTCTCAGGGAGACCCTCCTGCAGGGCCATGTTATGCTCAAGGGCAGGAGATAAACCTGCCACTTCTGAAGAGCTTTTGATCACTGTGTGCAGGCTTGTGGCTTTTTGAGCACCATCTTTTTAATTTGTGTTCCTGTTCGGCTCGAGGACTCGGTGCACATTATTATTTGCTGCACCCTAATGTTGTATGAGTAACAGGCATTTTTGCAGTATCTGCCTGGGCTCTAATTTCTGTATTTTGCTTCTTTATAATAGCAAATGAGTTTTCCTGGAAGAGCAGGATTGGGATTTATTTATTTTGCTTCAAACAACAAAGATACGTTCTAACAGCAATGCAGGCATAATTAAGGTCTGAGTTAGGTCTTCAGATATCTCCTGATCTCACCCTCCTTCTGAGACACACCATTAATGAACACTTTAGGCTGTTGCCTTAGAGAAGGTGTTGACATTTAATTTTCCTGTCTTTCTTTTTTCCCTACAAGATAAAAGATGGTAGAGGAGGGCAATCACTTGTGTAGATGAGGAGGCTGAAATAGGGAAGGCTGGAGGCACGTTTTTTTTTTTCCTTTTCATTCTAACACAGAACTAAAAACAGAGTGTGGAGAAGAGAACTCTCAGCCCTGGCTGCCTGATGTGCTGCGGATGCCCCCACAGATGGCTTGCTAGGAGACCAGTGGGCAACTGTGCAGGCAGGATGCTAGCAGGGCCCTCCAGGCTGGGGGCCAAAAGAGATGCATCAACCTCCAGCTTTACTCTGTAGCCTCACAGAGATGAAAGGCAGTTTATAATGCATTTAACGCTGATAATCACAGCAATACCTCGAAAACCATGGCTACGAACTGCCGTTCACCACTGTGACAGTGTCCA